GAGTTATTAAGTAGTTCTTCAGGTCTTTTTAATTATACAGTCATTACTGAACTATCTATAGTTATTAATCATTAGCTTAAATTTGCCTATGTTTATTATTCAACTTTTCTTTGATTTCATTTATTACCTAGGTTGCCTAGCCTTGCCATGCTCCCTTACTCCATTGTACCCCTGGCTTTGCCTGCATCTCAAATTGCAAATTGTTACTTACAGTGTACCTGTGAGTACTCGTAAGCAATCTACCTCATTTTTGCTCAATTTGTTTTTTTGTTTTTTTGTATTGCTTAGTCTTGCTTATATTTTTTGTTTTGTATTTCCATATCTTGTGTTTTGTATAGTCCATGTTTACATGTTTTTTCTTTAATCTCATTAATTGCCTAGGTTGCCTAGCCTAGCCATACTCCCTTACTCCATTGTACCCCTGTAAGCCCATTTTGTGTTTGTTTTGTACAGTATTGTGTATATATTTTTCCCTATTTTATAGCTTTTTTCTACTTATTTCTGATTCTACAATCAGCTTCTTTTATGCAGTCAAGTATAGACCCAGAACTTAACCTCTTATCCACTATCTATGACAATAATCACTTTAATGATCTAAATTGCAGATATTTTGCAGCACATGATGTAAACAATGTATTAACTCATAATCACAATATCTCTGTAATCAATTTGAACGTTAGATCCCTAGGTAAACACTTCGATGATGTTAGTGCCTTGATTGAAACTATTGGCAACAAATTCTCTTTTATTATACTTACTGAAACATGGTTGAAAGAGGATACTACTCAACTCTTTAACATGCCTAACTACTCAGCAATTCACAACTGTCGTCAACTTCAGAGAGGTGGTGGCACTGCTCTTTACTACCACCAAGAACTAACATGCCTAAAAGAAATTAGAACTAGAGACTGCTATGGGGAGTATATCTTCGCCAGCTTCAGAGTCAAGGGTGCCGAGTCTGTCCTGTCTGTGGGTGCAGTCTATAGAATTCCCAACACTGATGTGTCTGTATTCAACTCAAACCTTAGAAATCTAATACTTGATAACAGACTGAACAAAAACCACCTAATTATCGCAGGGGACTTTAATATTGACCTCTGCGAGCCAGAACACCCTACTGCTGTTAGCTTCCTCAACTGTATGAATTCCTGCCTCCTCATACCCTTAATCACTAGACCTACTAGAATCACTGATAGCACTGCCACGACTCTAGATCACATCTGGACCAACATAACCTCTCCGCTTACTTCAGGTATAATCACCGATAGCACTACAGACCACTACTCCACATTTCTCTTAACTAACATTAGCAAACCACCTCTAGAAACAAGGGAGTTAAGCTTTAGGCTGCACAATGAAACTGCTATAAACAATTTTATAACTGCTGCTGATAATGTCAACTGGGAGTCCGAATTAGGTAACATAGGGGACATCAACCTAGCAGTGCAATCTTTTCTACAAACAACTCTTAGCCTTTATAACACCCACTGTCCTAGGCTTACAAAACAAGTCACAAGCAAAAGGCTTAACAATCCTTGGCTTACAAAGGGAATACTGAAATCCATTAACAAAAAACACGACCTTGAGAAGAAGTATAGGTTAGGAATTGTCTCCAAAGAATTCTCAAAGAATTACTCATTATTGCTAACTAAGATAATTAGACGAGCCAAAACTAATTACTACGAAGATAAATTTACTCAAATAAAGAGCAACATTAAACAAACTTGGAGCACAATTTCACAAATATTGGGATCAAAGAAATCTTTAAATAACAAACCGGCTCTCCTGTCTAATAACGATGGTCAGCTTTCAGCCTCTGATTCTGCTATTGAGTTCAATAGGTTCTTCTCTTCCATTGGTTCATCCCTTGCAAATGATATTCCATCTTCCAGTACTGACATTAAGGACTATCTTACAGGTAACTATCCACAGTCTCTGTACCTAAAGCCTATTAACTCCACTGACGTCAATGAGATAATCCTTTCCCTTAAAACCAAGTCTGGTGCCCTTGAGGAGATACCAACTTTAATTTACAAAAAAGCCTCCAGATCTTTAGCCCCTGCTATTGCTTTGCTCTTCAACAAGTCACTTGAACTCCAAACCTTTCCAGATATTCTAAAAAAAGCGAGAGTAACGCCTGTCCACAAATGTGGTGACCCCACAGATGTTAACAACTACAGACCTATATCAATCCTGCCAAACTTGTCAAAAATTTTTGAAAAACTTATATTCAAGCAGCTTTACTCATATCTAGCAAAACTCAATATACTTAGCCCTTGCCAATATGGCTTCAGACCCAAAAAAAGCACTAACGATGCACTTATTAGTATGCTTAACTCGATTCATACAGCTCTTGATAAAAAGGAGCTCCCTGTTGGGTTATTTGTGGACCTGCGTAAAGCTTTTGATACTGTCAACCACCAAAACCTTCTTCTTAAACTACATCATTATGGAGTCAGAGGACACTCCCTACAATACCTCGAGTCCTACCTTACTGACAGGCTCCAATATGTTTCTGTGAATAATACAATTTCTCCCACCCTACCCATCAACATTGGTGTTCCTCAGGGCAGCATACTTGGCCCTCTCCTCTTTCTCATCTACATTAATGACCTTCCAAATGCCTCCCAACACCTCAAACCAATTCTATTTGCTGACGACACAACCTTCATTTACTCCAGTCCTGACCCTCTTGCTCTAAATGCCACAGTAAATACTGAGCTAAATAAAGTCCATCTTTGGCTAACTGCCAACAAACTCACCCTTAACATTGACAAAACCTTCTATATTCTGTTTGGCAATAAATCCTCTAGTCTTATAAATCTCAAAATAAACAATACCCAAATTTGTAACAAATTAGATGGCAAATTCCTTGGCATTCTCATTGACCACAAGCTGAATTTCCAGGGACACATTCTAAATATATCAAAAAAAGTTTCAAAAACTGTGGGCATTCTTTCTAAGATCAGATATTATGTACCACGCCCTGCTCTGGTGACTCTCTATTACTCCCTTATCTATCCTTATCTCAACTATGGTATTTGTGCTTGGGGTTCTACTACCCAAAATCACTTACGTCCTCTAATTACCCAACACAAAGCCGCTATTAGAACAATATCCAACTCTGGCCCCAGACATCACTCGGTACCCCTACTCAAATCTCTTAATATGTTAGATATTAAGTCACTGCACATTCTCTCATGTGTATTATACATATATAAAACGCTAAACTATAATGCCAATCCTGATCTTAAAAGCTTCATAGAAGGTTGTAACAGAACCCATGAGCACCACACCAGAAATAAATACAGTTTTGATATTCCTAGAGTACGTCTTAATCAAACTAGAAATGCTCTGCAAATCAAGGGGCCCAGAATGTGGAATGACCTTCCCAACCATGTTAAAGACTGTACCTCTCTCAACCAGTTTAAGATAAAAACTAAACACTACCTAATAAATTCCCTGTAATCTACCTCACTCCTCTATTGTCAACCCATGTCTGTTATTTTCTTTTTTTTTCTTTTTTTTTTTTTTTTTTTTTTTTTTTTTTTTTTTTTTTTTTTTTTAATCAACACTGTTTGTCAACCTATTGTATTTGTGCTGCTTTTTCAGTCATGTTCCCCCTTTTTTTTTATCTTTATTTGTATTTGTTCTCAACATCTTTTATTCTTTATGCTCAATTAGTATTAAGTTCTAGATATTAATGTTTTTTCTTGCCCGAAACGCATTGCGTAATAGTGGCTTTAGGCATTGTATGTACTAGCTCTATCTATATATCAATCCATTAATGTAACATCACTTGTATGTATATACCTTACCTGAATAAACATCTGAATCTGAATCTGAATCTAACTACTAATTGAAACAGTTAACGGCTTAGCTGCCAAAGATGAACGTAGATTGCGTCCAGCAGCCTTATAACCCGTCTAAACCAGTCCGAATTGGTAATCTCTGGCAACACGTGACTCGGTTGAATTACGTCTTTCTCTTGCAGCTAACTCCATGCTGAAATATGGATCACTTATAATTTCCATCTATGAGTGCATATTCCCACGTATTCATAAATTTAGCGCAGTTAGAATATAATAATGACACTCACGAGGTTATTTTAATGGTCGTGCGTCTTGACGACAAGGCACCCTATATAATATATAAATTGACGTCACAACTATATAAAAAGGGATAACTTAGCATTGCCTACGTGGTGTCTAGAATAAGATGAAGCCGTCACGTCTATTTGAGGTCCGTTAATGCACGGATGTTCCAAATATGAGACGATTATCAGACAGGGACACTTCTCCAATTATGGCGTCTGTCTCTGCCAGTTTCCTCGCTAGTGACGCTCACGCTACCTAGCGCCGAATGTTGGAAACTTCGGGAATAATTCACAAAATTTTATTCAGGTTTCCGAATGAATGGAAACATTACTGACGTTATTTTATGTCACAATAACGCTCTTTAGGTAACAGCAGATTATTTCTCGCTGAGTAAATCATTTAACCTAAATGTCGTTAAATGGAAGATAAATATCCGTGGTATAATTTAGGTCATTGCTTTGTTTACTGGATCAGCTGATCACAGCTGTATAAAACTATTTCCAATAAACAGCTAGATATTGCGCTAAGTGAAATAAATCTATTACCAGTCGATATTCCTTAATAAATAATATAAGGTAAGACTGGATTTAATTCGTTTAATAAATATGTGAAATTTATTCTCCCGGGCTGGGTAGCTGATGCAACCGCAGCCATAATTTCTAGGAAGAATCTGGCGTTACTTCGCCTCGGTTTTAATAAAATTAATATTGCTACACTACTGGTTAGTACTATTAGTAAATTATTATTCCTAGTACAATAAATACTACTCATCGCACTAGGGGTTAGTATTTGGGTGTTGGAAATTTCCAATAACTACGCCGTGAAATATTTTCTTGAAATACAGAAGTTTTTCAGATAATACAACATCCTCCTGAACAGTTGTATCATTTCTTTTGTATACAGATTCGCCAGCCCATCGGAGGAGGCTACGGAATGACGGAGACTAGTGCGGTGATCTGTACCAATAGACCCTCTGGTCCCTACAATGTTAACTCTGTTGGCAAAGTTGCACCCTACGTGCAAGTCAAGGTAACAGCCGTAGTTAATCTTAATAATTTAGTTAATTGCATTTAGGCCCATATCAGAGTATTGCCGCTTCAGCATGCAACACCTAACTAAAGAAACATACATGCCAGAAACACAAAATCTTACGGGAATTGATTACATATTGTAACATTATTTGTTCCTGGATAGTAAGTGTTATTTTCTGATTCCTTATTCCTTCCTTAGACAATTATGCAGAGATGTGACACATTGTTTCTCTCCCTTAGACAATTATGCAGAGATGTGACACATTGTTTCCCTTCCTTAGACAATTATGCAGAGATGTGACACATTGTTTCTCTTCCTTAGACAATTATGCAGAGATGTGACACATTGTTTCTCTCCCTTAGACAATTATGCAGAGATGTGACACATTGTTTCCCTTCCTTAGACAATTATGCAGAGATGTGACACATTGTTTCTCTCCCTTAGACAATTATGCAGAGATGTGACACATTGTTTCCCTTCCTTAGACAATTATGCAGAGATGTGACACATTGTTTCTCTTCCTTAGACAATTATGCAGAGATGTGACACATTGTTTCTCTCCCTTAGACAATTATGCAGAGATGTGACACATTGTTTCCCTTCCTTAGACAATTATGCAGAGATGTGACACATTGTTTCTCTCCCTTAGACAATTATGCAGAGATGTGACACATTGTTTCCCTTCCTTAGACAATTATGCAGAGATGTGACACATTGTTTCTCTCCCTTAGACAATTATGCAGAGATGTGACACATTGTTTCTCTCCCTTAGACAATTATGCAGGGATGTGACACATTGTTTCATAATAATTTATTGTGTCGGGGGACAGCTAGGTAACCAGTGTAATATAAGCAAGTTAGGCATATATCGAGGTGCCCCCCCCCCTTTCGGTCAGATTCCTGACCCTCCCTAGTAAGAAACTTAATAAGCTTACTAACTCCTGAATGCCAATTTACTGTTAGGAGAACAGGTGCATTAGGTGATAGGAGCCCAACCAATTCTGTCCCGCCCGGGATACGAATTCGAAATCCCCGATAGTGAGTCGATAAGAAACCCGATTGTATTATCGGAACCCTCAAGTCGGTAGCCTGCAGACCTCTCAGACGTCTTCGACTAAGCTGTGTTAGGCAGAGATCAAAGCAAAATTTGAGGGGAATATTAGTAATTTTCTATACTTTTGACGTATAAGCAATCAAAAAATAACACTTACTATCCCGAGATATATACATTTATTATTTAATGTTATTTACAAAAGAGCAAAACATAGATGGAAACATAAGGCACAGACGAGTCACAATTATGTTTGAAAGATTTTTCTAACATTGGAATAGTGAGTTATTGAAATGGGCTTTAAAGAACCGTAGAATCTAATACAATAAGTTGGTTCGAAAGGAGATATAAAAGATTACAGGAGGGTATGGGGTACCGCACTTACGACCCCGCTCCTGTGCCAGGTAAGTCCACTACGGGCTCACCATAGCCCGTGCTACTTGGAACTCTTTGTTCAGAGTAGCTGACTCTAAAAACAATAGCAACGTCTGGGGTAACTGCATTAGACAATCGACATCTGACAAGGCGGGACTCAGGTGTTAAAGCTCGACCCTCCAAACACATTTAGGTGAGGATAGAATTTTTAACAAAGTAAGCATTCCTGCACACGTCCGTGTATGCAACCCATCCAACTGTTTTGATGGTACTTATAGTAACGATGAGGCCCATAGTACATATACCGACGTACAACGCAATAAAAAAATAGAAATCGGTACTATTGAAGTTGGACAAACCACAAAACAATTTTCTACTTAGACAAACTAACCTAACCTTCCTAGGCCTACAATACGCTATCTGAGGCCTAATATAGTACATATGCGTGCTATACTAGGCCTAGGAATAGTTAAGTTTGTTTTTTAGCTTCATTTTTTTAACTCTAAAGTAAACAGTACAAACTTCTACTATCGAATTGCTAAGTACGTCAATATTTGTACTATGGTGCACATAGTTACAAAAAGTACTATCTAAACAGGAGGACAGCTGGACATCTGAAATTCGATCCAGGACAAGTGATGTTCGATCCTGCAGGCACAAACAGGCGAGTACAACTGGACGTTCACACAAGTATAAGCATGCCTACACAAGTGCGCTTTTGACAAGAACAGTTTGTGACAGGTGGTGAATGTGGAGAGCGGGGAGCTGGTGGCTGAGGGCGTGGAGGGCGAGGTGTGTGCGAGGGGCCCCAACATCATGCTCGGCTACGCCAACGACCCCGTCGCTACGGCGGCCACCATAGACACGGACGGCTGGCTTCACACCGGTGACATCGGCTACTATGACAAGGACGACTTCCTCTACCTCACAGACAGGATCAAAGATCTCATCAAGGTTAAAGGATATCAGGTGAGAGGTTAATGCCTGGGTCTTGCGATTTTGATTCTATGTATATCCGTAAGTAAGGAAGTCATGGTTGTCTCATGGATAATACTTAGTACTTAACACAGTGACTTACCAAACCCCATTGTTATAGGTTTGGAAGCAGTTCTCACGCTTGTTTCAACTGGACAGCCAAGAACATGGCAGTCACACTGCACCTGTTTTTATGGGAGTTTTAAGTAATTAATTCTTAGTTCAATAGGCTGTGTCTCATTTAATTCATAGCCTATCTATTATTTGTGACAAAAAGTATTAATAAGGTGTTTTCCCTGCAACTCCAAAGTGCTTTACTTTTGCTCCAACAGGAATAACTTTCTGTTAAATGAGATGGCTTGCTAGGCCAGTAGAAATATTTATTTTTAAGTAATACAATTGCTTTATGTTAACGCGGCCTCTTGACTTAGTCATTCATGCACAATCATAGGCTTCTCATACCTTAATTGTCACTAAAAATATTATGGTTCCACTAACTCTTAGCATTCCACATGTATGTAAGTAGTTACATAACGAATCACTAATAAATTTTCCCCTAAGCTTCATTAGATTATTAATTTTTTAATTCATTTTGTCGTGGACAAGTAGGCTGTGTATACATATGATTTAGGCTTTTATATCGAGATCCCCATCTCATCCAAGGTCGAATTAATGACCCTCCCCAGGATGCAACCCCTCCAAGAAGTTGAAAAACTCCTGGGTTCCCATTTGCTGCTAGGTGAACAACAGCATTAGTTCTATCACTAGTTCTCTCTAGCATTTCCGCTAGATAGAACTAGTTCTATCTAGCATTGCTGCTAGATAGAACAAGAGCAAGAAATATTTAAGTTATGATAGTTGACCATGTGGCTGTGACTGTTGGCAAGGTGTCGCCCACGGAGCTGGAGAACATCCTGAGGAAGAACGAGGGCGTGGACGACGTGGCGGTCGTGGGCGTGCCCCATGAGAAGATGGGGGAAGCACCGCGGGCGTATGTGGTGCCCCGGCCGGGCTCCGCCGTGCGCCCTCACCACCTGCAGCAGTTCCTCGCTGGTAGGTTCCTAGGTGGTAGATTCCTAGCTAGAGCTAGGTTCCTCGCTGATAGGTAGGTTCCTAGCTAGTAGGTTCCTAACTGGTGCTAGCTAGCTAGTGCTAGGTTCCGCACTGGTAGGTTGGTGGGTAGGTTCCTAGCTGGTTCTAGGTTCCTTGCTGGTAGGTTCTTCCAGCGCGCTTATACTTGTGTATATTTTATTGTACGCAATTGCTATCAGCACACTGATATACATATGATTTAAGGAATGAAAAAACACTTGAATTGTAAAAAGTAGTTTTGCGAATGAATTTTAATTGTATGTTGTGATCAAAGTAGAAGACAAATTTGATCAAAGTAGGAGACAAACTTAATAAGTAAACATAGAGATAATTAGAGTGTAAATATATGAATGGTAGCAAGTATACATACGATACTATCATGTATGCCAGTACTAAGTAGGCATATGATCTCAACATGCTTGACAGTATTAAATGCAATCTTAGGCATAAGATTGCAATCTTAGGCATAAGTTAACACATATATGTACTACACTAAGCCTTGAAAAGTTCGGTTCAATTTTATTCTTCATTTTCGGGCTCTTGCAGAATCAATAATGGACGTAGCCTCTATTTTTGATTGCGTACACATCATCTATTGTAACAATTGATAATATAATTTTTGGAGAACAGGTTGAAATATAATGCCACTCTTTAGTGGTGAATACACCGTAAAAGTCACTGTTCCTAGTTAAGTTTTTGTATAACTTAGGTGTTAAATGCCGTGTGGTAACCGGCCGGTGTCCCCAACAGAGCGGGTGGCCCACTACAAGCGGCTGGCAGGCGGGGTGAAGCTGGTGGCGTCCATACCAAGGAACTCCACAGGGAAGGTGCTCAGGAGGCAGCTGGTGGAGGGCCTGTCAACCCCAGCTGCTAAACTCTAACCTTCTTCAGGTCCTTAATTAACAGGTGGAGGAGTGCCTTGTGAGAGGTCCCTTGTCAGCCACGTGAAGGCAGGAGAGTTTTCCTCTGTTTTAGCCATGAATCACTTAGTGATTTAATGAGAACATTTTATTATTTGATGTCATATATTTTTGTACATATTTAATTTTAGATATTCTTAAGATATAAATAAACTATTTGATACATAAATTTAGATATAAATATACTATTTGATACATAAATTTAGATATAAATATACTATTTGATACATAAATTTAGATATAAATAAACTATTTGAGTAGTATTGAGAGAAGGATGTGTACTACTGTACTCGAATGTGTGAGTGAATGTGTTTAAGGGTCAACAAGGGGTCAAGTACGCAACCTTGTTTACAGACTGTTGGAGTCAATGATGTTGTTTACAGACTGTTGAAGTCAATGATAATGTTTACAGTCTGCTGGCTTCAGTGATGTTTACAGACTGTTGGCGTCAGTGATGTTTACAGACTGTTGAAGTCAATGATAATGTTTACAGTCTGCTGGCGTCAATTTTGTTTACAGACTGATGGAGTCAATGATGTTGTTTACAGACTGTTGGCGTCAATGATGTTGTTTACAGACTGTTTGCATCAATGATGTTGTTTACAGACTGCTGTCGTCAGTGATGTGCGTCTCTACAGTGTCCTGTTATTTTCGTAAACTGTGACAATTGCCTTTCACTAGTACTGATGAAATTAAATAATCAGCTGACTATTAGTATGTATTAAAATTTATATTTCTCCAATATTTTATATATTATGAAATTATACAAATATTTTAACAATTTTGGGCGTATATTTAGATTATATTGTTCACTGCTTTTCACTGGACAGGATTTCTTTATATTTGATTAATATACAGTTTGACAGATAGTGTTTATTATGAGAGCGAATCCAATCTATTATTGTTTTTATTAAGGCAAGTTTTATTAAAACAATCTATTATTGTTTTTTATTTTATTTTTCTTAATAAAAACCAACGTACTACAAATACAAATAATCGCCAATAGAACCTAAACACCTAACCTAACCTATGTCTATATCTGCACAATATGCTAATATATTATAATATTAATTTATATTTGAAAAAATTCCTGTTTTGAATGAACAGCATGTTAATATTTATGAATGCGTCTGTGGGGTTGCCCGCTGGATGTAATGGACTTGAGTCGAGGATGAGTTGCTGTAAATGCTTCACCCACGTACTACAAATACAAATAATCGCCAACAGAACCTAAACACCTAACCTAACCAATTCCTAAATATGCACAGTAGGCAAATATATATATCAATATAATTTATATTTGAGAAAATTACTATTTTGAATGAACAGCATGTTAAAACTGTTGAATGCGTCATTGGGGTCGACAGCTGGATGGAATGGACTTGATCTGAGGATGGGTTGGGTTGTACAATTAATCTGTCAAAACCACAACATACCATCAAGAGACTAACGCTGAGAGAGGAACAATCATGGACACTTACAGACAGAAAACACCACGTGGCACTGCATAATGTTTCGAACTGGTCACCATTTGTCAGCAAATTTTTCAACTGCCCCTTCCCCCCCCCCCACCCCCTCCTTCCCCAGCCTCCACGCTAGGAGAGTGTTGCGGAATAATTTACCTGGTGTGAATTTGGAAAAGTTGATACGTTATTACAAATAATGAATGGCAAAACTCTACACCCCAGAAGTGACTTGAACCCATATTGCCAGGAACACTATGCAACTGGTGTACAGGAAGCCTTAACCACTCGACCATCAGTGACCATACAAAAAGAGGTGATAGCCGAGGCTATTTTAACCACCTCCCCGACGGCACTTTGATGGTAATCTTGGGTATGGTTGTTTTATCGAATCACCTCCTTTTTGTGACTATTATCAGTTGGCTATTATCAACAGCCAACTCACAAACTATTTTAACTAACCCTATGATGAATATAACATTTAGCTTGAGACTGTAGTCCCTGTGGTGAAGTGGTAAAGCACTTGCCGGGCACTTCGCGAGCGCTTTGGCCTGGGTTCGTATCCTGGCCGGGGAGGATTGACCGGGTGCCAGTCCTTTACTCTAGCCTCTGTTCACCCAGCAATGAATGGAAACCTGGCTGTTATCAAACAATTTAGCGGGTCGGATTCCGGGGAAAATTAGGATTAAGGACCTGCCCGAAACGTTATGCGTGTTAGTGGCTTTTCAAGAATGTAAAAACTCTTGTATAAATAATTTAAAAAATCATGTAACTTGCTCATTAAGCTAAATGGATTTTGTTCAGTTCCTGAGTGAGTCCATTACGTGCCTCTGTAACCATAACCACTCACGGGATATGTATGGGGGAGCATAATAACTGAACTAAACTAAAACAAAAACAATTAGTGTTGTTGCACGCAAGAAAGCCACTGGTACGCATGAAGTTGGTAAATCTTGCCAGTCGACACCCTCAAGGTCAGATTACCAGGGGGGAGCAACGAAGCTCAGACAGCAATAGTCCATCAGTGTCTGTTGGACTCCCGCACCGTGAGGACTAACGCAGTGTGAGTACTAGCAAAATAATAATAATAATTGGTTTATTAGGACGACATTCCCATCCGGTGGTCACTGGTGAATTGATAACAGATGTGTTCGGTGACTACATGCTTGCAACTTTCTTTATGGTTTTAGCAATCTCCACTTTATCACTACTTTAAGAGACTGTGCTTACTTGTCATTATATAATTAGCATACTAAACATTTAACCCAATTATTTGACTTTGGAAATCACAATTTGTCAAGTATAGATACTGTTCTTAAAATATTTTCAGCTTTCAATAATTCATTTTGAGGGATGATGACCTTCCATGAACATATAGTTTACTCTTAAAAAATATTTGAGAGACTGCAAAAAGCTATACATGAGACCAGGAGGCATGGCAGGAAGTGCAAAGTAGCTCTGTTGAAAAGGTGCGCAGTTAGACAATTCTATCAACATAAAGGGACCAAGATTATTCAATACTCTCTCCCTCTAAACATAAGAGTCAATACTAGGCGACCTCTAATAGTGTTCAAAAGAGAACTTGATAAACATCTCCAAGGGATACCTGATCAATCTGGCTGAGAGTCATACGTCAGACTGCGAGCAGCGGCGTCTATCAGCCTGGTTGATCAGGCCACAAACAAGGGGGGGGGGGCGCTAGGTACCGGGCCTCGGGGACATTGATCCCCGGAACAATCACAAGGGAGGGCGTCAGTGCTTGGATTTGGGTGGATTAGCCTAAACATCGTCAAACCAATTAAGAGCTTAATTTACGCATCGATGTCAATGCTACAATATCACAGGTGTGGCATATTGAGCTCCTTTTTCATGCTTTGCAATTTAGTCCTATCTTTAAAAAATCAAACATTCTTTCAGACATTTAAGCATGCGAGGGAAGCGGTTTGATCAGTTAAAGGTCTAATATTACATTAGAATGTCAAAATTACATAACTTTAATGTATATTAGTAGTATATTAAAGGAACATTAGCTTTCCAACTGACATTTTCTCCATAGCTTGAGTTCAATTCAAATTCAAGTACGTTTATTGAGACAATAAAAGACATCTAAATTTCAAGTACAGTATGTTTATTGAGACAAGAAAAAAAATACATCTCAAAGGGATAGAGTAGCTTAGGCTATTTCTACCCCCTCCCCTCTATGTCAAGTCCCCCAAGGGGCGCACATATTCACTGAGTACAAATACACAAATTGCAATGCAAGAATCGCATTTAACATTTCAAGTTAATATAGTACTCTCTAAGAGTATTATAGTGTACATCCACCGCACTAATTTTTAACCCATTAACGTTCCAAGATAATAGCCTCACTCTACTTTCATCCATGATTAATAATAAAACTACCATTGCCCTGTCCGTCACATTCCATGAGATACAAGAGTTTCTTCGAGACTCTCTCAACACTATAACATTTTTGCTTTCTCCTCACTTGCACAACAGCTATTAATATCAAAGGTAATATTATTCATATATAATTTTTTTTTAAATTCTGTATACCGTTTTACTTTAACCTTTCTTTCAACATTTGTCACTACAGAAGGTTGAACACCGCTAACACTACTAGAAAGTTCATTTTCCTGACTATCCTCTATCATGAATACGTCATTTTCTGCCTTACTTTCTTCTACGCACGTTTCACTTTCCATTTCACGTCCTGTTTCACCACCATCTTCACCCCGTCTACCCTCCATAGCTAATTTTTCTAATGCCTCAATCCTCTTGTCTATTATTTTTAGATATTCCAATATTTGAGTACCAACCTCCAAGTTCACTATATTGTCCTGAACCTTGTCTCCACAAGGTTTATTTTTTTTTCAGCTGCATTTCCTACTTTCCCTAGGCTCGCCTTAATTGTCTCCGTTCCTTTCTCCCACACATTGTTCATAGGAGCTGTCATTGGCTTCCAGCTGTTTCCTCCATGTTCCTGCTGCACAATCTTTTCTTCCTTCGAGGATACATCTATCCTTATTGTAGGACCCGCCCTGGAGTCTTTCAGATGAGGCTTCATGCGGCATAGATAGGAACCAGCATTGTGGCCTCGACAATTGCAACAGGATGGGACGATTTTTTCACCGTTTTTAATCTTGACTACACTCTCGAGAGTCGTGTTTCTTATCACAGTACCGACACCTGGGGTCAAACTGGCATTTCCAAGTCATATGTCCCCAACGAGAACACTTCATGCATAGTACGGGCTCCTCAATATATTTTGCAACTTTCCTGTAGCCTAATCCTTGCATAAAAATTGTTTCCGGAGCCTCACTCTTTACCAAGGCAACAACCTGGCTTTGTTTGTCACCACGAACACTGTTCCTCTTTGCCCAAACAACACTATCATTGTTCAGAAGAAGATTATCTGAATCCAAATAAGTTGGATACTTAAAAACTATGGTCTGGGTGTGCATCATACCTTCTTCCGGAGTAACCATCACAATATTCTCAAACCCATCCGTCGTTAGGTGTTTACGCCCTCTTCTGTCCCAACTGTTATGTAGGGCCGGTGAGCACCCTCCTTGAATAGTTCATATTCAAAAAACTCCTTAGCCAAACGAACCGTCCATTCCAGCTTTTGATGAAAGTTCAGATGACACGCTGTAGGGAACAACAGCCTCTTCCTTCCATTAGTCTGCATCTCCCGCGTCCTGCTGAGCAGGGCTTCATTTTTTGGTCTCTTTAATATTTCATCCTCACTGTCACCGTCTCGCTGTCTTTGAATGTTTCGCCGTTTATATCTGTTCACTACTGCTTGATACGGCCTGGTATCATCCTGTCTGTCATCCCCACTCACACTCCCAGGTCCAGTGGTACAGGATCGTCCATCACTTATGCAGACTGCCTCATTTGAATATATTCAAATGAGGCGGTCATTTGAATATATCTCAAAGGGATAGAGAGTAGCTTAAGCTATTTATATCCTCCTCCTTGAGTGTTGATGCTGATGCTTGAGTATCACTGTCAAGTCGTATACTCTGAACTTAAGAGTTCAAGTCCAGAGCCTGTTTATGGTGACGACCAAGTTGAAGTAAGTTTGAGACCATAAGACATATCTCAATCGAACAGAGTAGCTTAGGCTATTTCTACTCTCCGAACAGTGACGCCTCTCTATAGTCTGGGCACAAGGTCAAGAAACTTCAGTCTGTTTATATTGTCAACATTCAGGCTGTGATATAATGTGTCAGTCTATTTATAGACACTTGTCCTCATACAAGTGTTTTATTGGATGCGTTTCATTGTGGTAGACGAACATGACCCGCTTAGTTAGTAAAGTAAATTAAATTTTATTCATGAAAGTACATACATAGTTGATTTATAAACATAATGTTGGATTTATAGATAGAGCTAGTACATACAATACCTAAAGCCACTAGCACGCATAGCGTTTCGGGCAAGGTGTGGGCAAAAACACTTAGTCTAAAACTGAATACTAATTGAGATTACAGTATAAATTGTGTTGAAAGGGGAGGGGGGATGGAAGAAAACAGCAATTAAACAAGTTGGTCAACAAACAGTATTGCTTGAAAATAGCAAGACATGGGTTGACATGTAGGGGGTAAGGTAGGTGTGGGGGTTTTCTTTTTTGCTTTCACGACTGCAATGCGTACGTCGCCAATGTACATGTGGCAGACGCTTCACGAAACTGTCGGAATTTGCAGAATAGAAAATACGAGACCAACCGTACAGGGCCTGGGAGCAAGGTACCCTCCGTAGACACGGAGGGTACTCGCAGTAGGGCGTACTGTATGTCTACAGACACACGCACACGCTCTTGGCACTGGCGGTGAGTAAGGGTGGTGACGTCACGTGGTACAGTGAGGGCGGCTGGCGGCTGCAGGTTATATAGTACCCTGCACTACACTGTACACTGTGGTACAGGTACACTGTGGTAAAGTCACACACAGATTACTTAGGCGGCGGCACTGCCTTAGTTCACTCTAAGTCTCTCACAACGATGTTTGTCACTAGGGGTTACCTGATACCAGTCTGTTTCACTCTGGAGATTTGTCACTTTAGGCTTCTGAACAATATATTCACACCCGTGATTCTGGGCAAGTGTGGTATATCGAAAAGTCTATTGGCCAGTAGACAGAACAGAACACCTCCTCTGGGTAAGGACTCCCTCACTTGAATACTGTACAAGGGCTGCCGGGCAACTCGTGGCACACAGCACAAAAGAGTTACAATTTGATCAATAGCATTGCAGCAAATGAGCGGGAACCAATCACATTGAACGTTCGATGATCAGTAGGAGAAGTGACGTCATGAACATGTCACAAACACGTCATAGCTGTTATTCTCCATCGCGCTGGTTGACCCCAGAGGTCAGACGGTCGCTGGCGTCTCTCCCCTCTCACGCTCCGCACCGGCCAATGTACTCATTGACCCTGTAGCAAGTATGCTTAACTTCTCTGTATCTACTTCCTGCCTGGACATACGGCGGCCTCCGTATTATAAGTGTTCCTGGTTAAGTGGGCATTCTGGAGATACCCAACATGCCACGTCACTATCCAGGGTTAAGAGAGACAGGCCTTGCGCACGAAGTTCGGTGCACTGTGCACTGCAATGAGCCATTCAAGTCAGCTGTGGGAGAATCTTGAGAGACACACTCTCACAACACATTACATGGAGTTTATTAGGTAGTATTTAGTTTTTCTCTTAAACTGATTGAGATAAGTACAGCCTTTGACATGAATGGGAAGGTCATTCCATATTCTGGGTCCCCCTTGATTTGTAGAGCATTTCTAATTTGGTTAAGGCGCACTCTTGGAATATCAAAGATGTATTTGTTTCTGGTGTGATGCCCATGGGTTTATTTATTTATTTATTTATTTACAAGAAGGTACATTAGATTTATGAGAGTACAGAGCATTGAAGTTTTACATTCTTGTAAAGCCACTAGCACGTATAGCGTTTCGGGCAGTAAACAGAGAATAACAGTTACGCATTGGCGCCCAGTTAATCCTCCCTGTCCAAGAATCAAACCCAGATCAAATCATGCGTGTGCCGGCTGAATGTGGTACCATTACGCCACCAGAGACTCTTCTGCTGTCTTCAAACTCATCACAATTCTATCCTTTCTCTCTGTCTCCCAGTGTGTGTGTGCGCGCGCGCGCGTGTGTGTGAGCATTTTCAACTTCTTTATCTAATTTTGTTGTGGATGGAGGTGGTTTCCACAATTTCTTCCTTCAGTGCATTCCACTTGTGCTCATTCCACTTTCAGAACACGACCATCCGTACAGGGTACGAGTATTTCAATAATAATAATAATAATAATAATAATAATAATAATAATAATTTTATTCACAAGAAGGTACAGTGGGTTGGTGAGATTACATAAGATTGGCATTTGTTACATTCTTGCAAAACCAGTAACACACATATAGCGTTTAGAGCAAGTCCTTAATCTAACATATCAGGTAAGGTGAAAGGGTACATTGTATCAAAGTTTTTATATCAACAAATAACTACAACATAAGTTGACAGAGGTGATTACAATGGTAAAGATATATGTCTGAAGTACTAATATTGGAGAAATGTAAATTTTAGTACAAATTTGAGTACAAAGAACTTTTTTTTTTATTATTATTATTTTCTACCACAGACGTGGTCCCACACATTTACAATACTAACCAGCATATATACATTTTCTTCTGTCCTCCATGGACAGGGTGAGAGATTTGTCAAACATACAGTTCAGAGATTTATTGAACAACCACAGAAGGTGATCGTTGTGTTTTTAAAATGTTAGGCTAAGCTACAACTTGTACAAAGAACTATAAGTAACATTGTACCATTACTAGTTGCCTGAATGATTGTTTAAAAAGAAAACTCATGAAAAGACATGGACTTGACCAAATAAATGAAACAAGGTTATCTTCTTCTTACCTTGAGGTAATTCACACATACAAACACACACACACACATATGGTGGTTACACACACACACATGGTGGTTACACACACACACACATATGGTGGTTACACACACACACACATATGGTGGTTACACACACACACACACATATGGTGGTTACACACACACACACACATATGGTGGTTACACACACACACACACATATATGGTGGTTACACACACACACACACATATGGTGGTTACACACACACACACACATATGGTGGTTACACACACACAAATTCAGGAAAAGAACTCTCATCACTCGATGTCACGTAGAAGTGTTTTTTGCACGTATGTCTTGATGTCAGCAGATGAAGGCAGCGCAGCAGCAGCAGCAGGGTGCTGCAGACAGCAGCAGGGCGAGGACGACGCCCCGGCTGCTACAGTGGCAGGGTACCGAACCTCTCCCAGCCATACCAGACACAAATTATGCTGCCTTCATCTTGGAGATCATGGCTGGGTATGGCGACGCTGTGGCTGTGGTGAGTCTTAACATTGTGACGACGGCTAATGTCATAATATTTGTTGGAAGGTTCATCCAAAGGAAACGTAGCTTAAATCATACAAAGTCGTATAAAGTCTTATAAAGTCATACACAGTTGTATAATTCACTATACATGGTTAAGGAAATTGGGTTTTGCTTATATAATTACCAAGATTTCACACTTCTGGCTATTATTACCTTATAAAATGATAAATAATATCATAAAATTATGAGAAGTATTTTTCATCATCTGGCACCATCATGCCCAAACATATTTAATTTGAAATAACTTGGAGACAATATACATATGTATATATATCTATATATATATTTTTTTTTTAGATATATACAAGAGTTGTTACATTCTTGTACGTTCTATATATGTTCTTCTTGTCATTCTATATATGACTGAAAACTCCACACCCCAGAACTGACTCAAAGTCAGATCACCAGGAGCACACTGCAACTGGGGTACATGGTAACTTAACCGCTTAAGCATCAGTGACCGTACAAAAGACGATGGTAGCCGAGGCTATTTCCCCATCGCCCCGACGGCACTTTGATGGTAATCTTGGGCATAGTTATTTCATCAAATCACCTCATTTTGTGGAGCCACGTGAGCAACACAAATGCGAATAAGCTTGAATGATCCCCAAGCATATATGCAACTGAAAACTCCACACCCCAAGCAACTCCAAACTCTCCAAGTATATATATTCATCCATATTTATTGTTTTACCTGAATTATAGAAGGGCAAACAGTAAAATTAGGAGTTAGCTCTTCATCCAAATTTTATGTCGGAATTTAATTTGAAATTCCATATCTTCAAAGAAGTATATGGAATTGAATATTTTCACATTTTGCAAAGAAAAAAACTATATACAGAGCAGTTTACAACCCCCCTAGAGAGTCTCAGAAGACCGAGGTCAGAATATGAAACTACAAACAAATCATGCTTGGATATCCACTAAGGGGTCACAGACACCCCCCATAGACTGAAAGTAAAGCTCCTGGTAATGGGAGACTCCAATCAAGACCAAATCATGTGGGAAACAATGGGCCCAAGAGGAGGAAGTGAAACGTAGAGAGCAAAGCATGTAGAAGTAGTAGATATAGAAACTTCCTGATGCAACGTGTCAGGGAGGAATCAAGAAGGGGTGGAGACAATCCAGCTAAGCTAGATTTGGTCTTCACGCAGAATTACGTGTATATTGAGAACATTGACTATGAAATGTCATTAAGAGCCAGTGGTCACTGTTTTAATCTTTTAATATATAGTGACAACGAAACCCATAAAAAAGATGCAAAAATGGGGAGAATGTAAGGCTAGCATACAGGAGAGGAGAATACCAGAAGGTCAGAGATTCCCGGGGCGGATAGAATGGGGAAGAGAACTCTGAGGAAAATCAACACAAGACATGATGGACTACGTAACGGACAAACTCAAAGAAGCTGAAGAAAGATTTATACCACCACTAAGGGTTAAGGGAAGCAAGACGAGCATTACCCCATGGTTCAACAGGCAGTGTCTGGAAGCAAAGAGAAGAAGCAAAAGAGCATGGAAGAAGTATAGAGAACACAGAACAGAAGGAAATCACAATGCATACAAAGAGGCCAGAAATGAGTACACAGAAACTAGGAGAGTGGCAAAGAAGCAGTATGAGAATGACATTGCATACAAGGCTAAGTCCGAGCCAAAACTGTTCTATAGTCATATCAGGAGGAAGATGACTGTGAATGAGCAGGTTATCAGACTTGACAAAAGTGAGGGAGGACACACGGAAAATGATAAGGAGGTGTGTGAGGAACGTAACAAAAGCTTTCAGGAAGTATTCAAGCTGGAGCCTGATTTGCCACTAGAGCTTAGAGGTCAAACTGATCGAGAAATTCCACAGGAAAGCCTCACCGAAATAACAGTGACACCAGAAGAGGTAAAGAAGCAACTGCAGAACTGGATGTGACAAAAGCCTTCGAACCTAACAAAATATCGGCATGGATACTAAAGGAGGCAGCTGAAGCATTGTGCAGCCCACTTGCCGTGATATTTAATTCCTCTCAAGAAACAGGAGAACTTTCTGACTGCTGTAAAATGGCTAATGTGGTACCAATCTACAAGAAAGAGGGAAAACAAAAACCGTTAATTTACAGACCCGTATCACTAACAAGTATCCCCTGCAAGTTGCTAAAGAGTGAACCGAAACAGGCTGGTAGAATATTTAGAACAGATCAATTTTGTCTCAAGACACCAGCATGGTTTTAGTAGAGGAAAATCTTGCTTGACAAACTTGCTGGAGTTCTACAACAAGATGACAGAAAACAAACAAGAGAAAGAGAGATGGGCAGACTGCATATTCTTTGACTGTCAGAAAGCATTTGATGCTGCGCATATTCCTACTCAACTAGAAAAGCAGGCTGGCATATCTGAGAAAAGTCCTGCAGGTGGGTCAGAAGATCTCCTACTCAAACTAGTTACAAGCAGCAGAGAGGGAGAGAGTTTACAAGTGGAGTACCACAAGGGTCGGTTCTAGGGGCCCATCCTGTTTCTAATATATGTCAAAAACCTGACAGGAAATTGGCTCATTCATCTGTGTTTGCAGATGATGCATAACTAATGAGAAGGGGTCAGGTCAGGGTTAGATTGTGATGCATTGCAAGAGGTTTTGGATACACTCCAAAAGGGGTCTGAATAATGGCTGCTAGATTTTAACCAATCCAAATGCAAAGTTATGAGGATTGGAACAGGAGTGCGAAAACCAGTACAACAACAGTATAGGATGAAGGAAAGATAAATTTTTCAATCAGAAAAGGAGAATGACCTGGGAGTGGACATAATCCCAAATCTGATGCTAGAAGCCCACATTAGCAGAATAACAACAGCTGCATATAGCAAACTTGTCAACATCCGGGTATCCTTCAGAAACATGGCCAAAGGAGTTCTTTGGGTCCTATATTCAGCAAAGGTGAGACCCACTCGTGAATATGCATCCCCAACATGGATCCCTTACCTGAAAAAGGACAAAGAGAAACTAGAAAAGGTCCAAATATATGCAACGAGATTAATTCTGGAGCCGAGGGGATTGAGCTATGAGGAAAGACTGAGGGAACTGGGCCTTACCACACTGAAGGGAAGGGGAGACATGATAAAAACATAGAAATTCTAAGGGAATTGAAAAGTAGGCAAATCAGCATTGTTCAAAGCTAGGAACAGCAGAATGAGGAGTCATAGATGGAAACTGGAGACGCAAATGAGTCAATCAGGAAGAACCTTTTCAGTGTTAGAGCTGTCAGAAATTGGAATAGATTACATGCAGAAGTCGTTGAAGCAAATTCGATTCGTTATTGTTAATATAAATATGATAAAAGCGTGAGAAATATCATTGCATTAATCTACGAACATTCGGAAGGCGGGGCTAGAAGCCTAGCTCCAACCTACGAGCACATCTAGGTGAATACAATCAGTATTATTTAAGCAATTATAAAAAATTTCTGGTAAAATGGCAATTTTCCGACCAAAAAATAATTTCTTTCCTTGTAGAACAAATCAACTTCTCCTACAAACTCAGTGTTCCAATTACACCCAATTAAGAAGAGCATTCGATAGCCGTAATCATCATAAGATGATCATCGTGTCCAATAACATTATTGATGTGCAGGCGTATTGGTTATTTTAATCCTTTTAATCTCTGCTAAGTTGATTGATTGATAAAGATTAAGCCATCCGAAAAGGGGCACGGGCTTGAATAGCCCTTAAACTGCTATGCATAAGTTTCTTAAACATATAGGCGGTGCCGGTAAGATCTTTTGATTGTGGTTCAGGTGGAGGCGGAGACGGGCAGACAGCGGACGTACAGGGAGGTGTGCAGGCTGGTGCCGCGGGTGTCCGCCGGGCTGGCGGCCGCCGGGGTCGTCCCGGGCGATACTGTGCTCTTCCTCACTCCCACCATCATGGACTACCCTCTCGTGTTTCTCTCCATTGTGCACCGCGGCGCCACCTGCGTCCCCGTCAACGCCAACCTCTCAACCGGTTTGTCGCTCTCAACCTTAAATTTTGCTGTGATAATTTGTATTTCTCAAACAACCAAAGCAACATATCACTGCATTATTTTGTAATGTAAAGACCCGTGCCTGCATGTATAGATAGATAGAATATATAGATATAAATGTACAGATAGACAACGTTAATATTAAAAATGATGGAAACTTTCCTGCCCTATACATAGATAGACAAGAGACTAAACTTCAATACCCACATAAAAAAAAAACACAGCCAAAAATGTCTCAAACTGTCAGGATACGTCTTAATATCCGAAATTGTGTCCCAATCTGCTCTCCTTTCACTATACTACTCACTGATCTATCTTTATTTTACATACGGTATCTGTGCATGGGGTTCAACCGCGGAAAATTACCTCAAGCCTATCACCACCCAGCAAAAATTTGCTATCGAAATTATAACAAATTCTGTCTTCAGACAACGCACAGCTCCCCTGTTTAATTCCCTAAAAATGCTGAACAGACACTCACTCCATACATTCTTTTGTACTATTTACACGTACAAAACAAAAGGGTCCCAATAGTACAGGCGGGTTCGTTCTTGACTCACAATAGAGAATTCCGGGATCGAACCCCAGATGAGACAGATGGTTGGTGCGTTTCCTTTAATTAATGTTCCTGTCAACTTAGCTGTAAATAGGTACCCAGGAGTTGGTCAGCTTGTTATGGGGTTGCATGATAAGGAGGGTCAGTAATTCGGCCCAGGGAGGACCTAGATATTAGCATAACATGTTCTGTATGTATAAACTGGTTTCTTGTCCCCCTGACACAATGAATTATTATGAAAAAAAACTTGTTCCTAAATGCTAATATTGATCTGAAACTCTTCATTGTTAGATGTAATAAAACCCATGAGCACCACACCAGGACTAAATATATCTTTGATATCCCCAGAGTCAGACTAAATCTGTGCAAACACTCCATGCAAATAAAAGGAGTACATAACACTCCATTTATGTACACTCATAACCTAATGTACCTTTTTGTATATAAATGAAAAATAGTGTACGTAACCCGTGTTGTACCGTACCCAGATGAGTTGGTGCACGTGGTGAGGGTGAGCAAGGCCAGCTGGGCAGTCGTCCACGAAGACTCCCTGGAGGTGGCCGAGGCTGCCTTCTCCCTCATGCCACCTGGCACCCTACGGCAGCTGTGGGTCCTGGGAGACTGTGCCACACACAGACCCAACCTCACCCACCTCATGACCTACTCCCCCGCGCCTCCCTTCACTAAGGTAACCTACAATATCATAATTTATAAAGTAAATTTTAGATGGTATTCTTACTATTCAATACTTGATTCTTTGTTTACAGTTTTCTGGTAGTCTTTTCAGAAATATTTTTTTACTTATCAATAGGTTCGTAATTTTAAATACACAACTTATGATTTAGATTGTGGGAGAAGGTGGTTAGTGTTTGGTGTGGCTGTCAAGGTGTGGATTATTACAGGTCATAGGCTACGCAAGCACTCTGAAATGTATAAATGAAAATACTTTTATGGCAGAGAACAAAACGGATAACGAATAAATAAAAATAAATGTTTTTACTGTTCTAGTCGTTGAGGACATTAAAGTTCAAGCGGTGTGTTTACTGACCAATTACCATGTGGGGTTTTTCAGTTTAGTAATTTATTATGCAGACCGTACCCATCCTTAGGCGGTGGTGGACCCTATGCTCATCCGTGGATGGGTACGGGGTCCACCTGTACTAGAAAAGAAAGTGTCGCCCTTGGCGGAAATAAATCTGACTGGGAAAACTGTGGTGAGTAGAAGATTATTATCATGATCTCACGGACACCCAGGTTATTATACAATCTTTGATAAAACATCGAAAAATATTTGGAGACTAAAACTGACTGCTGGTAAAAACCAAAGGGGCCGAAAAAATATTTAGGACTGGAACCAGCTGTTTTCAAACCCCAAAAGGGCCAGCTCCAGTCCAACTTACACGACTTATACACGCCTATATCAAACCAACCGAATGTTGAATGCCCAATCGCTTTTGCTAAGTAAATTAAACCTGTAAAATTTGTTTGTTAAATATCTGCTTCATGGTGTTGCATGTGATGTAGATGTTGTCTGGCAGACTTGTGCCTCCACAAACTACTAATATGCACTCCAGGTTTGATGAGTGTATATTAAATACAACTTAAGCTTTAACTTTAGCATGATATAAGGTTGCATAAATTACAAGCATTGCTTACAACACATTAAATAACTTAATATTTATGATGATAACAGGCTGAAATGATAACACACAGAAATCACAATTGCAATCAAATGAACAAATCCACAAGGGCCGTGACGAGGATTCAAACCTGCGTCCGAGAGCACCCCAGACGCTGCCTTAAATCCTTGAGGATTTGTTATGAAATGATAACTTAGTGACAGAGCTTCAGATGAAGTGAGCTAACTAACATTGTGTCCGCAGGCGGAGGGGCTGGAGGCGTCGACTGCGGTAGCCATGATGCCCTTCTCCTCGGGTACAACTGGCCTCCCCAAGGGCGTCATGCTCTCTCACCGTAACCTGCTTTACACGCATGTTCGGTTAATGTGAGTTGCACTAAATAATAACACGTGCATGAACATCTGCAACAATGTACATGTCCACACATACACTAAAGGACCATAAACACACGGAAATAGCAAACCCGAGGAAGAGAGACAAGTTAAAACAAGCCATAAGGAACACACATCCATCAGTGTCGTCAGGTTATATTCAAGCACTACACCATAAGCATTTTCCCACCAACCAAATAATCCACCTACCACATCAACCGCAGTCCTCCAAACACTGGTCCATAACCACACCAAACTGGACACAACTGACTCACAACTTCAGCGTCATAGTTAAAAATTATTTGCGTAAACAACTTCCTCCAATTAACTCTCTCTCTCTCTCTCTCTCTCTCTCTCTCTCTCTCTCTCTCTCTCTCTCTCTCTCTCTCTCTCTCTCTCTCTCTCTCTCTCTCTCTCTCTCTCTCTCTCTCTCTCTCTCTCTCTCTCTCTCTCCCTCTCCCTCTCTCTCTCTCTCTCTCTCTCTCTCTCTCTCTCTCTCTCTCTCTCTCTCTCTCTCTCTCTCTCTCTCTCTCTCTCTCTCTCTCTCTCTCTCTCTCTCTTTCAATTCCCTGAAACATGTTGATAGCCGGTTTAACTACACCTTAGATTCCAAAAACATAAACTTGTTTGTTTATTAATGTATATATCATTAACTTGAAATTATGAGAGCAATTTTATATAAGTTGATATACTATGCAAGTGATATAATAGTTACAGACTCGCTCCTGTGCCAGGTAAGTCCACTACGGGCTCACCATAGCCCGTGCTACTTGCAACTTTTGCTCCGAGAAGCTGAATCTTAAACAACAACATACGCAAGCCCAGACGATACACATTGTTTACCTTAGCGACTCTCATTACCTAGGATGCATTACCTGAGGATGCATTACCTCATTACCTGAGGAATATCAGCCCGTCCTCCAAAAATGGGGAGGTAAATGTAAGAGCACAAATAAGTGCAATTATGTACTATTCATAGCAGTCAGGAATTGTACTTATTTTCACTTAGTATTAAATGGTAGTCAAATATATTGTGAAAATTTGAGTTTACCTGAAAACTGAATAGAAAACCACGACCTCGCCTAACCGTCTTAGTTTTTGAAGATAATAATTTTATTGTTTCTTAATTACAATTAGTACTTAACCTATAGCTTTACTGATATTATAGTTTTATAAAACTAATAAAACAAAACTAAAATATATCAATAAATTATACAGTAACTCAGGATATTTTCCAATTTTGCATAAAATCTCTATTGTTTAATAAAACTGAAAAAAAATTTCTTGATATTTAAAACTTGTGCATAGCTTGAAAGCTTGATTCTATAATTCTGAGTTTCGTAACCGAAAACAATGAGAATAAATGGGAAGTAAATATAAAAGCCCCATAAGTGCAATTATGTGTTGTGTATAACAGTAAGGAAATGTACTTATTACACTTAGTATTAAATCGTACTGTCAATTCGGAGGATGGGTTGAGGAATATATATGATGCTGGTAACTTGAGTACTCTGTAAATTTTGCAAAATAATAATTCACCATTCTGCTAAATTACCTTGAAGAAGAATTTCGAAGTTGTAATGTCAAAGATCTTTCTGACCACAAAAAATAATGTATTATTTGGCACAGGAGTGAAGTAAAATTCTTTCCGCCCGGCGGTGTAAATAGAAGCAATGGTTCCAATACGACGTTGGTGATCCTGCCTGTGTGTCACCTCTACGGCCACCTGACCGTCTTCTCAGTCCTGCACATCGGCAGCACTGTAGTCTTCCTCCGCAAGTTCGCGCCCAGGAAATATTTTGAAGCCATACAGAACTTCAAGGTGAGCAGAAAACTGAACGGAGGGGGAGATAAAGTTCAGTGATATTGAAATTATAGTTAGTATAGTTCATTTGCTTACATGGGTAAGTAAGTAATGGGTCCCGGTAGTGCAGTCTGGATTCGTTCTCGACCCACAATCGAGAAGGTTCGAAATCTCGGGCGGGACAAATGGTTGGGCACATATCCTTTTTTTTTTTTTTTTTTTTTTTTAGATATATACAAGAGTTGTTACATTCTTGTACAGCCACTAGTACGCGTAGCGTTTCGGGCAGATCCCTGGAATACGATCCCCTGCCGCGAAGAATCGTTTAAATCTAATCTAATGTACCTGTTCACCTGGCAGTAAGTAGGTACTCAGGAGATAGTCAGCTTGTGGGCTTGCATCCTGGGCGGGGTCTGTAATTCGGCCTTGGGAAGGGTAGCTCGATATAAGCTTAATGCGTATAAATATACACACGCTCCCTGTCCCCCGACACAGTGAATTATTTAATTATTTATTCTGCACTCCATATCCATCCTGCGGGCGGTAGCGGATAAGGTTACAGAAGCATATATATTGATGGGTCTAATTTTAGGCCTCGGGGATTGAACTCTAAAATTTATTTAGCTAAGCATGTTACAGTCTTCCCACAGTTAGCAAACTGGGAATATTTGGCTAAAATTTCTGGTAGTACATTATTTTGAATGAAATATTTACACTTTTCTTATAAATTTGTTAGAGTTGGTACTAAATATAATTAATAATTCATTGTCTTGGGGGGGACAGGAAGCCTACGTGTATTCGTTAGGGTTATACCGAGGTGAAGGTATATACTTCACCTGTATATACCTACTTACTGCTAGGTTAATAGATGCATTAGGTGAAAGGAAATGTGGCCCAACCACTTTGGTCCCGCCCAGGTTCGAGCCCGGATTCTCGATTCTGGGTCGAGAACGAACCCGACTGTACTACCTTGACCCTCATTCACGTATCTTTTCGGACTCCATCACATAGTGACGGAGGGTGTGTGAATAATTTGTTGACACTCTCTACATTTGGTCAGGTTTACATATATATATATATATATATATATATATATATATATATATATATATATATATATATATATATATATATATATATATATATATATATCAGCAGGTAATGCAAATTCCCAGAGAGATATATATCACGAAAAACAATTTTAGATTTGTCTTGATTTAGCATAGATATTTTTTTTATTAATTCGCACACTTCTTGTACTTTCCCTTGAAACACTAATGTACTGAATAGAAATCTGATACAATATTATTTGTGCCTTAGTTATGATTTTCTTGCAGCACAGCAGAGTCGTGCATCAACTATTAATTTAACACCTGACAGGTAACATTCAGCCCGCTTGTTCCCCACCTGCTCAAGTTCCTGATGGAGACGCCGCTGCTGAAGGAGTATGACGTCTCCGCCGTGTCCTTCTTCAGCGCAGGCGCGCCCCTCACAGCCTCCACAGCCAACGCCTTCATAAAAAAGGTTTTATTACTAATCTTAACATAAGTCCACTACGGGCTCACCATAGCCCGTGCTACTTGGAACTTTTTGTTCTAGGTAGCAAATCTTTAACAACAAACAACAACTAATCTTAAACACCGAGATTACGGGCTCATCATAGCCCGTGCTGCACTGGGTGGTGGTTATTGTGTTATATTCAGCTACTGGGAACAAAAAGTTGCAAGTAGCACGGGTTATGGTGAGCCCGTAGTGGACTTACCTGGCACAGGAGCGGGGCTGTAACTGCTCCTGCTGAATCTAAGACATCCATTTTAATTTTGCTCATGTACATTATTTGTTCTTGTCCTTCAAACATCTTTGTTCTATTTTATTTATTTACTTGTTTATATACAAGAAGGTACATTGGGTTTATGAGAGTACATAGAATTAATGTTTTTACATTCTTGTAAAGCCACTAACACGCATAGCGTTTAAGTAGGTAATTCCTAGCAAAATTGAAAAATTTTAACAGGTACATTGTAAGAAAATTTGACAAAGATTAGTAGATACATTAAAGTAAAATTTGAGGGTTATCAACATTGTAGCATAATTTGAGGATTATTTCAAGGTATAATGTAGTAAAATATGCGTTCAATATAACAACCATGATATAAGATGATAGCAGTGATTACAATGGTGAAGTTGTATAGCTTAGGTACATATATTGGGGGATTGAGTAGCACAAGATACAGTGAGAGTTACAGCACAAGGTAGGAAACTATGAAGATGGAATTAGGTAATTTATTGTTTTATTTTTTAATAAGGCAGCTTTTCAATAAGTTGGACAGCTTTTCAATTCGTTAGGGAGTGTGTTCCATAGACTGGGTCCCTTTATTTGCATAAAGTGTTTACACAGATTAAGTTTGACTCTGGGGATATCAAACAGATATTTATTTCTGGTGTGGTGAGTATGGTTTCTATTACATCTGTCCAGGAAGAGTTTCAGAGCATGGTTTGTATTTAAGAACAGGGTTTTGTAAATGTAAATGACCCAAGAGAATGTGTGGAGTGAGTTTGTTTAGTATGTTTAAGGATTTAAATAGGGGGGCTGAGTGTTGTCTGAAAGCAGTTTGTTATTTTTCTGACTTCAGACTTTTGTTGGGTGATGATGGGCTTGAGGTAGTGTGCAGTGGTTGAACCCCATGCACAGATACCATAAATAAGATAACGATAGATTAGCGCGTAGTATAGTGAGAGGAGAACAGAGTTTGGAACATAATATCTGATTTTAGACAGTATACCAACTGTTTTAGAGACCTTCTTGGTTATGTGTTGTATGTGGGGGCTGAAGTTGAGTCTCTTGTCTAAGTATAGGCCAAGGAACTTTCCATCATTTTTATTGCTAATGTTAGCATTGTCTATCTGAAGCTGAATCGCATTTGTTGACTTGCTTCCAAATAAGATGTAATAAGTCTTTTTTATGTTTAGTGTGAGTTTATTGGTTAACATCCAAAAGTGAACTTTTTTAAAATCATTATTTACAACATTATTTAGTGTGTGTGGGTTGGGGGTCTGAGTAGATGAAGTTAGTATCGTCAGCAAATAATATAGGTTTAAGAATGTTAAAGACATTAGGCAGATGATTGATGTATATAAGAAATAGGAGAGGTCCTAGGATGCTGCCATGTCACTAAGATACTAAGCCTGTCACCTCTATTTGTCTGGGATATCATACAAACTGCATTGTCAACTTCCTATTTTAATTTTGTTCATGTTGATCATTTTTAATTTTTGCTGATATGTTCATTAACAGCAATAACAACAACGTTTTGTTGTTGCTAAGAAGAATACACACGGTAGCAAGAGGTCATGAGATTACCTGTTAATGACTAAAGAGGTCATGAGATTACCTGTTAATGACTAAAGAGGTCATGAGATTACCTGTTAATGACTAAAGAGGTCATGAGATTACCTGTTATTGACTAAAGAGGTCATGAGATTACCTGTTAATGACTAAAGAGGTCATGAGATTACCTGTTAATGACTAAAGAGGTCATGAGATTACCTGTTAATGACTAAAGAGGTGATGAGATTACCTGTTAATGACTAAAGAGGTGATGAGATTACCTGTTAATGACTAAAGAGGTCATGAGATTACCTGTTATTGACTAAAGAGGTCATGAGGTTACCTGTTAATGACTAAAGAGGTAAAGAGATTACCTGTTATTGACTAAAGAGGTAATGAGATTACCTGTTAATGACTAAAGAGGTGATGAGATTACCTGTTAAGGACTAAAGAGGTGATGACGACGCTTTTCCAGGTTAGTTATACCTGATCTGGAAGAAAGTCCACAAAATATCGACAAGAAAAAGCCGTAAATGCCAAAAAACTGTTAACTTTTAAAGCACAACTGGAAACAATTATCGAGGCAAAAGGGGAGGGTGACTTTCAACAAGCCACCGGCTTCCTGTCCCCGTCAGGCCACTAGTATTAGTGGCTCTCAGGTAAATTTAAACTCCTATCCTTTTGATCGGAGTTTATAGCGAGTTTATCGAAACTTTTAATACTGAACCATTTGGTGAATGGTGATCTGAACAATTTCTTCTGAAGGTCATATGTAACATTCATTTATTTATTTATTTATATATAAGAAGGTACATTGGGGGTTAAGCAAATACATTAAAGACATAATAAGCCTGCTACAATTCTTTAGTAAGTTCAGACCTTAATTACACAAATGCATAAAGAATTAACATATTAAATGAAAAAAAAACATACCGTATTTCGTAGAACATTATTTATTTTTTAATTTAGCGAAACTATCTTTATAACGTAAATATTTTCTCGTGTCCAGATTGGCCGGCCAGTTACCGGGGGATACGGGTTGACTGAGACGACAGCCATCGCCACCTCCAACAAGACCCCCAACAGCAGCAATATTAATTCTGTCGGGCAAGTTGCCCCCTACGTGCAGGTTAAGGTAAACCTCTCAGTCACAGTGAGTGTCAGGTTTAGAGACAATGTGAGAGAAGGCAAACGCATTTCACGTGATTAAGTTCTCAGGATCTGTATCGCTGATGGTCCGTTGTCTCAAATTATTTATAAAAGAAATAGAGAATTATTAGTTGTTGACCAGACCACACACTAGAAGGTAAAGGGGCGACGACGTTTCGGTCCGTCCTGGACCATTCTTAAGTCGATTGTTTCGACTTGAGAATGTTTCGGACGGACAGAAACGTCGTCGTCCCTTCACCTTCTAGTGTGTGATCTGGTCAATATACTTTAGCCACATTATTGTGACTCATCGCCTGCAATCATTAGTTATAAAAGTGGGGTAGAAGTAGTGTGGTGTGTGTTGGCCAGTGCAGGTCCCTGAGGAAGGTCAGACCTGTAGACATCAAGGTCTGTCAGTCGCAACATGCCAACCATTATTAAAACCATCCTGGTGTTAGAGATCACAGTAAGGCCTACGGAAGCTCTTGGTGAAGACTCTTGTTGTAGTTTAAGATTCAGCTGCTGGGAAGAAAAAGTTCCAAGTAGCACGGGCTATGATGAGCCTGTAGTGGACTTACCTGGCACAGGAGCGGGGGATAAAGACTCTTGATTGATTGATTGATTGATGAAGATTAAGCCACCCCAAAAGGTGGCACGGGCATGGATAGCCCGTAAGTGGTGGCCCTTTGGAGCCATTACCAGTATCATTAGCTGATACTGGAGATCTGTGGAGGTGCAACTGCACCCTGCGTGAAAAGACTCTTTACACACAACTAGTTTTATATTCCTGAACGTAAGTGTCAAGCCACTTGTGGTGGACGGTATAGGGTTCGAAGCTGGCTCAAATCGCTGGCGTGACGTGGGACGATCGTATTGTCTGTGCTACAGGTTCTGTGGGGAGCAACGTCATGGCGATCTATAGTGAACAGGGAGATTGATTGATTGATAAAGATTAAGCCACCCAAGAGGTGGCACGGGCATGAATAGCCCATAAGTGGTGGCTCTTTTGAGCCATTACCAGTATCATTAGCTGATACTGGAGATCTGTGGAGGTGCGACTGCACCCTGCGTGCAGTCTTGGATATAGCAGTGTCGTAGACGTTGAGACGGAGCTTGGAGCAGAGCAGAGAGCTGAGTGAGGCCGGAGTCGTGGAGCTCTATGTGGGAGAGCGTGCCGGCTCGATGGGGAATTGTAAGTGTCTAAACTTGATGGGGAACGAGAGCGTTGTAGCTCGACCCGGTCCAAGTCTGCTGTCGGCTCAGTGTCGAAGCTGTAGCGTCTTGGGGTCTATTAGAACTGCCTACGCCGAGTGCTACATTCTTGACTGTGGAAATTGTACTCTTGGCTATTCACTTTATGCTTGCTTATATTCGGTGACTACACCACAGCTTCCTTCAACAGGATGGATAGAACTGTTACCTGTAATTAGGGAAAGGATTTGAGTAGCCATAATTAGTGCTAATTAGTTTGTCATTAAGGTAATGAAAGATTGAAGCGAGTATGAGGTTTACTCGCTACACTACCCTACACAGCACTGGTATTGGCTGCATAATAAATGAACTAAACTAAACGAAATACTCACAGCATGTTTATGAAGGAAATAATAATAAATAAACTAAGCTAACTACCAACAAGCAAATAGACGTGGACGTAGAATGAAAAAAAATCCCAGCATAGATTACCGACCAACAGCTAGAAATCTGAAGTTCGATCCTGGACAAGTGATGTTCGATCCTGCAGGCACAAACAGGCGAGTACAACTGGACGTTTACACAAGTATAAGCATGCCTACACAAGTGCGCGTATGATAAGAACAGTTTGTGACAGGTGGTGGATGTGGAGAGCGGGGAGCTGGTGGCTGAGGGCGTGGAGGGCGAGGTGTGTGTGAGGGGCCCCAACATCATGCTCGGCTACGCCAACGACCCCGTCGCTACGGCGGCCACCATAGACACGGACGGCTGGCTTCACACCGGTGACATCGGCTACTATGACAAGGACGACTTCCTCTACCTCACAGACAGGATCAAAGATCTCATCAAGGTTAAAGGATACCAGGTGAGAGATGATTATATATATGTATGTAATATATATATCTTGGGTACTAGGAGCCTCGAACATCCGACCTCTGGCCTGGGAGGCAGACGCTCTATCACCTGCACTATTGGGTTAATCTTGAAAGGGAAGGATCCCGAGGCAGCTAACTGTCCTAGCTATGACTTAGGGCGCAGGTCACTCACTTCTCCTGTGCTCGAGTGACAGCCATGGGAATGACAAGTTCAGTTGGATAGCAGTTAGTGGCCTTGGGGTTATGAAGGATTATATATATAGTGACAGAATTACAATAAGAAATTAGTGTAATTTGAATTAACGTAATTACTTCATATGAAATTAGTAATACGGTAAAATGGCTATAATGAACAATTTAATTTAGTTATATTTCTAGATAGTAAAGTGATATAAAGTTGAATTAGTATCATATGGTGGGAGGGGGGGCTATATGATGAGGGAATTAAGTATTTCATTGTTTTACTTTATACAAAAGTATGTTGTACAAGTTTTTACTTAATTAGGAAATATATTTATAGACTATTTATTGATACAGGTTTTCAATAGATAGTCTAGCTCAGAGAATGTCAAAGACAATTATTTCCGGTGGTGAAGGCTCATAGTTTCTGTTGCGCCCATCTTGGAAGTTTCACGTTAGGATTAGTACCGAGGAAGCATTAAGGTTCTGTAAGTGTAAATATCACAAGGGAATGTGTGAGTGTTTAATCCCACAGAGAGCATTTGTTATGTTAGTTGACCATGTGTCTGTGACTGTTGGCAAGGTGTCGCCCACGGAGCTGGAGAACATCTTGAGGAAGAACGAGGGCGTGGACGACGTGGCGGTCGTGGGTGTGCCCCATGAGAAGATGGGGGAAGCACCGCGGGCGTATGTGGTGCCTCGGCCGGGCTCCGCCGTGCGCCCTCACCACCTGCAGCAGTTCCTCGCTGGTAGGTTCCTGGCTGGAAGGTTCCTAGGTGGTAGGTTCCTCGCTGGTAGGTTCCTGGCTGGTAGGTTCCTCGCTGGTAGGTTCCTGGCTGGAAGGTTCCTAGGTGGTAGGTTCCTCGCTGGTAGGTTCCTGGCTGGTAGGTTCCTCGCTGGTAGGTTCCTCGCTGGTAGGTTCCTCGCTGGCAGGTTCCTCGCTGGTAGGTTCCTCATATTCTTCTTCATCAGCGCGCTTACACTTGGTTCATTTTCCAAGTGTAAATCGCTGTAAGAAATCTATATTAAAGACATTTCTTCCTTTGATGATATGGTTGAGGCAGGGAGTGTTGGTCAGCATCATCACTCACTGGGTTATTAATGATTAAATGATCACTTAATTTTGATTAGATAATTTGTTCAATTATTATCAAAATATCATGAATTACGTAACGTATTACTTTTAATTGCAAAAATATTATACAATCGTTCATCCTTGACTGTTGTCATTAGTTTCAATATATTTGTTATAATTCACAATTTTCCACCTGGTTTAAGGTGTGACCCTGACTTGGCAACACACTGGCCCACTTTGGCGACAGTGAATTTACCCGAGGACCTCGACGAGGACAGTAAGCCTGCGGCTTGTCAAATGTCTCCCCCCCCCCATCCCCTCTCCCATTTGTCTTTGTGATTTTAAATCCGAAATTCAGCCATTATTAATTAATTAATTAATAATTAGTTCATTAATAATTTAATTAGGTACATGTTAGGCTGATATCGAGGTCCCCCTCACCCCCCTCACCCAAATTTTGGTGAGCCTCTGACCATGATTTCTACCCAAGAAGCACGTTAAAGATCAACCCAAGCTTCGTCTTAAGGCAGTGATCAGTGCCTTAAGCCATACTGCATGCTGATGCTTTATCTGCTTCTTAAAATCATCATAATAAATGGGGAGACCTTTGACAAGCCTCCTGCTTTCTGTCTTCGTCGAGGTCACTAAAGAATTGGTGGTCTTCAGGTAAATTTCAGACGTTATGTCGATTGAATGTAAATGTAACAGATATGAACTGTTGTATCTAAGAACTGTTGAGTTTAAAAAAAAATACCTGGAAAAGATTATTAAGGCAAATTCGACAAGCCGGCGGCTTCCTGTCCTCGTCGAGGCCACTAGGGTTAGTGGCCCTCAGGTAAATCATAAGAACATAAGAACATAAGAACAAAGGCAACTGCAGAAGGCCTGTTGGCCCATACGAGGCAGCTCCTATTTATAACCACCCAATCAAACTCATATACTTGTCCAACCCGTGCTTGAAACAATCGAGGGACCCCACCTCCACAATGTTACGCGGCAATTGGTTCCACAAATCAACAACCCTGTTACTGAACCAGTATTTACCCAAGTCTTTCCTAAATCTAAACTTATCCAATTTATACCCATTGTTTCGTGTTCTGTCCTGTGTTGATACTTTTAATACCCTATTAATATCCCCCCGGTTATGTCCATTCATCCACTTGTAAACCTCTATCATGTCACCCCTAACTCTTCGCCTTTCCAGTGAATGCAACTTAAGCTTTGTTAATCTTTCTTCATATGAAAGATTTCTAATTTGGGGAATTAACTTAGTCATCCTACGCTGGACACGTTCAAGTGAATTTATATCCATTCTATAATATGGCGACCAAAACTGAACTGCATAATCTAAATGGGGCCTAACTAGAGCAAGATATAGCTTGAGAACCACACCAGGTGTCTTGTTACTAACGCTGCGATTAATAAATCCAAGTGTCCGATTTGCCTTATTACGAACATTTATGCATTGATCCTTTTGTTTTAAATTCTTACTAATCATAACTCCCAGATCCCTTTCGTAATCCGACTTCGCAATCACAACACCATCTAGCTCGTATCTTGTAACTCTATCATCATTACCTAACCTCAGAACTTTACATTTATCAGCATTAAACTGCATCTGCCAATCCTTTGACCATTTCAAAACCCTATCTAGATCAACTTGAAGTGATAGTGAGTCCTCCTCCGAATTAATTTCCCTACCGATTTTCGTATCATCGGCAAATTTGCAAATGTTGCTACTCAAACCTGAATCTAAATCATTTATATATATTATAAACAACAGAGGTCCCAGGACAGAGCCTTGAGGCACTCCACTTACAACATTTTCCCACTCTGACTTGATTCCATTTATACTAACTCTCTGTTTCCTTTGGTATAGCCATGCCCTAATCCAGCTTAATATAGCACCCCCAATACCATGAGACTCTATCTTTTAATCAGTCTTTCATGTGGCACTGTATCAAAAGCTTTGCTAAAGTCAAGGTATACAACATCGCAATCCTTACCACTATCAACTGCCTCAACAATGCTAGAATAAAAAGATAACAAATTTGTTAAACATGAACGGCCATTTATAAAACCATGTTGCGACTCAATTATTAATTTATGTTTTTCAAGATGAAGACGAATTTTATTTGCTATTATAGATTCGAGTAACTTTCCCACAATAGACGTTAGGCTAATTGGTCGATAGTTAGACGCAAGTGATCTATCTCCTTTCTTAAAAACTGGTATCACATTAGCAACTTTCCAAAACTCTGGCACTCTGCCTGTCTCTATTGATTTATTAAATATGGTTGACAGTGGGTCACAAAGCTCCTCTTTGCATTCTTTAAGCACCCTGGCAAACACTTCATCCGGCCCTGGGAATTTGTTTGGTTTGAGTTTTACTATTTGTTTAAGAACATCCTCCCTGGTAACTGCTAAACTCGTCAACCTGTCCTCGTCCCCACCCACATAGACTTGTTCGGCTGAAGGCATATTGTTAAGTTCCTCTTTAGTAAATACAGATACAAAATATTTATTAAAAATACTACTCATCTCTTCATCACTATCTGTTATTTGACCTGTCTCAGTTTTTAATGGACCTATCCTTTCCCTAGTCTTGGTACGATATAACTGAAAAAAACCCTTTAGGATTTGTCTTTGCTTGCCCTGCTATGCGAACTTCATAGTTTCTTTTTGCTTTCCTTATCTCTTTTTTAACATTTCTAACCAGTTGTACGAATTCCTGTTCTAAAGTGACCTCCCCATTTTTAATCCTTTTGTACCAAGCTCTCTTTTTACCTATAAGGTTCTTCAAATTCTTTGTTATCCACTTTGGGTCATTAGTATTCGATCTATTCAATTTGTATGGTATACTACGTTCCTGTGCTTTGTTTAGAATATTCTTAAATAAGTTATATATTGAATCCACATCGAAATCCCCATTTAAGTCACCTATCGCTGGGTTCATAGGTGACTCACTTAGGGAACCTCACTTACAGGCTTAGACACAAACGTCCACTTCTTTGCTTAATAGATGGCGTTCACTCTCTAAGCGCCACCTCACCAGAGGTCAGCTGCGGCTACGTTATGAGCTGATTAAGACGGGAATCCAGCACCTGTGGCCGGTATATCCCGTCCTCACTAGATGGCGTCGTCCATTTGGAGTGGGTTTCGGGAGCGGACTCACAGATGGCGTTGTCGTCACTGCTCCGTGCTCCGACGCTGGACTCGGGTCCGTAACAGCTTTAAAATGGTCAAAAGACTGGCAGATGCAGTTTATAATGCTAATAAATGTAAAGTTTTGAGGCTAGGTAATGATTATAGAGTTACAAGATACGAGCTAGATGGTGTTGAGATTGCGAAGTAGGATTGCGAAAGAGATCTGGGAGTTATGATTAGTAAGAATTTAAAACAAAAGGATCAATGCATGAATGTTCGTAATAAGACGAATAGGACACTGGGATTTATTATTTGAATTGTTAGTAACAAGACACCTGGTGTGGTTCTTCAGCTATATCTTGCTCTGGTTAGGCCCCATTTTGATTATGCAGTCCAGTTTTGGTCGCCGTACTATAGAATGGATATAAATTCACTTGAACGTGTCCAGCGTAGGATGACTAAGTTAATTCCCTAAATTAGAAATCTTTCATATGAAGAAAGATTAACAAAGCTTAAGTTGCGTTCACTGGAAAGGCGAAGAGTTAGGGGTGATATGATAGAGGTTTACAAGTGGCTGAATGGATATAAACAAAGGGGATATTAATAGGGTATTAAAATTATCAACACAAGACAGAATACGAAACAATGGGTATAAATTGGATAAGTTTAGATTTAGGAAAGACTTGGGTAAATACTGGTTCAGTAACAGGGTTGTTGATTTGTGGAACCAATTACCGCGTAACGTGGTGGAGATGGGGTCCCTCGATTGTTTCAAGCGCGGGTTGGACATGTATATGAGTGGGATTGGGTGTTTATAGATAGGAGCTGCCTCGTACGGGCCAATAGGCCTTTTGCAGTTACCTTTGTTCTTATGTTCTTATGTTCATGTCTCGCTCCAAGACCGGCCCCCACCCCATACCCAAGACTTTTGGTGCACAAAAAAAATCAGGTGCACAAAAAATAATCCTATTATAGTATTTGAATTCTAAACATTACATATGAAAGACTAACCATAAATTATAATGCCCTAGGCTTAAATGAATAATCCTAGGTCAAACATATGTGCAATCTTAGGCATAAGTTAGTACATATATGAAAAATCCTTTTGAGGCAATGGAGTAACTAGAACTTGCGACCTGATGATTCCCAGACGCCTGCCTTAACTGACTCTGCCACGGTGGTACAAAAATTAATTAACCCAGAACACTGCTGAGCTCTCTGGGAGGCCCCAAACAGGATTTTACAGTCAACCCGACCACACTCGGGCCAACAGTAATGGCAGTAAGGGTGTTCACCGTCTTACGGCCCCCTCAGATCACAATGACATCACATTGGCGTGATTTATCAATGAAAATCATATTGAGGCAATGGAGGGACTTGAACTCGTGGCTAGAACTTGTACAGTCAACTTGGTTGGGTTGACTGTAAAATCCGCCTCCAAAACCTCTCAGAGATCTCAGTAGAGTTCTGGGTTGGTCAACTTTTGTACCACCGGGGCAGAGTCCGTTAAGGCAGGTGTCTGGGGAA